CATTTCTGGTTTGCCTAAATAGCTTGAAAAGATCAACTTCGGTTGACCTGCACTTTACGCAAGACCAGCGAAGGCCCTTGCGATCATTAATAGCGTGCAGAATTGTTCCTGTCAAACCAGCACATTTCAGATGACAAATACCATCACAAAGCCAGCACGATAAGTAGCGTTCAGAAACGCTTTTAATTTGGCAAGTATCAAGATCGCACTTCATATTGAAAGATTTAATAACACTTGTTAATAAAAAGACAAACAAAATAAATTATAGCAATTTAGGAGCTGATGTAAATAGCTTTAAATAAATGTAGCTAACAGTTTGAGTATCACTGTAATTATGAAACTTAATAAACGCAACGCACACAGCTGTGAAAAGAATTACTAGAAGTAAACAAAAATAAAAATGTGCAAAAACAAAACGATTACAGTTAACTACAAAGGATACAACAGCTATGATAGCAACAAATGACTTGGCAAAATTAGAATGTATGCTAGTGAAATTTAATTAAATTTAGTTTAATATAAAACCCAATAACTTTCACTTAGCTTACCTAGAAAGCCAAAATCAGAGCACAAAAAAATCTCTATACAGAAGTATAAAATAAATTTGCCTGCGTAATACCGAGTATAGCTCTAGAATGGATTGCCACATTTGAGCTGTCTTTTTTGCTGTGTTTGTCTCTGCCCAAGGAAGATTTACAAAAATTTTCCGAATAGAAAATTCCGGTAAATTTATTTTTCATAGATTTTGACATGCAATTTTTTTATTGCCCCAAATTTGATCGTAATATTACAATTGAAATGGTTCCGCAGGTTGAAATTGTATTAATACTAAAAAATTATGTAGGTTAGGTTAGGTTAGAGTGTGTTGTAAATTATACCCGGTTCCATTTACAGTTGCCGGATTTGAAAACTGCATGATGGAATTTTGATCAAAAATATAAAATCATGAGTTTCATTTTCCTCGACCCGGCTCGCTTTTAATTTTCGTTTCCGGGTATTCACTACGGGCGATTGAATAAATTTCGGGATAAACCCACGATAAGGCGTATAAGAGCGTATACCTACATTTCTTTTACGAATATGATTCGATTGCTTCGAAGATTGTTTGAACTTTTCGGCATTGTACCTTCAGTGTTCGCAACACATTTGTCTATCAGAATTTGAAACATTGCCTCACGCAACCGCAATAAACAAAGAGTACCAGGTTGACCGAGCTTTGCCCGGAGCGCATGTACTTTTTAAAGTTTTCACGATTTGGATAGCTTTAAGAAAATATTTTGGAAATGGAAATTTTGGAAAAATGGACTTGGATATCTATTAAGTAAATTCCTTACTCCAAAATTTAGGTGGCAACCCTATTCCGAAATACGCTGGAATGAATGGTACATATCTTGAGCGTATATATTAGGGTGGGTCAAAAAATCAAGTCTTTTTTTGGATCCGACACACGAAAACTAGTTCCTAGGTACCTCTAGAAAGTACTTACCTAATCTGAGCTCTTAATATTAACGGGAAGGTTATGCTCATCATAGTTTTCCATTTTCAATTTAGTCTCATATAAAAATGGTCATATCTTATCACCAATAGATCGTTAAACCAGTTGCATCGTCAATATTTATAGGAAATTGAACGCTCTACAAAAATGGTCTCATATACTCTTTTCATTAATCTAACCATTTAAAAGATATTCAAGGTCAGAAATTGAAGTATTTTAAGGAAAATAACTTTTTGTTTTGAATTTTGTAACTTACTAAAAAATAATTAATGTCAAATAAGTTTTAATTATTTCTACAGGGAATTAAATGCTCTACAAAAAAGGTCTGAGGTAGTTAATCGATTACTCTAACCATTTAGTAGATATTCACAGTAGAACTCCAATGCCTACTGGTTTTAATAGTTTTTTAATAAAATAAATCTGTAACCGTTTTGTACTGCGACCTTTTTGATTTTTAATCAAGTAATCCTTTTTAATGCCGGCTTTGAGATCAGGGTGTTGATGGAATTAAAACACATGAAATTACATTCCTTCCCAATATATTTAAATCTCCTCCGGAGATCGTCTTCAGGGGCTACAACAATTACACAAGTTTTTTTATTAACATACAAGAAAAAGCTAACACATCAAAAACATACATAAATACGTACATACATTAATTAAATTTTAGCTCCACGACGTCCGTCTCGTTTGTCGTGCAGTTTAGAACTGATTTTACAAGTGTCAAGCAAGAATGATAGAATACAAGATTGCGCCAATCGAGCTGAGAGCAACTGGCCGTGACGTCAAAAAATATCAGAATGAGAGAGCAAGACGAACTCGACAAGAAAAAGAGGAAGCATCGAACAAAAGGCAGTATTGCCAAGTTTTGAATTTGAAAAACCACCAAATTTTTATTGGTATATTTTATGGACTTTATATACATACATAATTTTATTGTAAGGATTCCGATTCAAATTAATAAAAATCAATGTTTCTTGCACGACGGCCGATTTCTTCTGGCATGATTGAAGGTGCTGCCACATATTTTGTTGTCGCTTATGTCACTGTGCCATGATTTTGTTAAAACTTTTGTAAAGTCCCTTACCACACTTGCGTTTGCTATAAATTTTGCTTCCATTTTTTTAACATTTTCTAATTTGGTGTCTTCAAACTAAAAACAAAAGCACCAAAATGCACCAAGCACCAAACTCAAGAATTTTCGCGTTTTGAATACCCACTAAATTTGGCGCGAAAAGCATCAAGTTGGCAACAGTGAATGTACACAAAAGTATTTTATGACGTCAGCGATTGGGTGGATGCTGTCAAATCGACAAAGAGAGGGTTAGCGGTCCGCGAATGGCGCGACCTTTATTTTCTGGATCGTGAGTGTCAAGCAGGTGTCTGTATATGTGGGCGCAGTTTTCTGTGTCTGTTTTGTAGTTTAGTCTCTTGTTTGGTGGTGTGCAGTGTTGCCAGAACTTTTTGGGCCGACCGGCTAGATTGGCAAAAAAAGCGGCTAAAAACGGCTAAAATGTTTTAGTGAAATTTCACATAGACTCTGGCAAAAAACGGCTAAAATGTTTTAGTGAAAATCCACATGCTTTATTTTAATAAATCGCAAGAAACGAAAGACTAGTTAACACCATTAATTTATATCGAGTGTATATTCCTCATCATCAAATGAATCACTATTGTATATATCACCTGAATTCATTAATTTTAAGAGATCGTCATCTACAGTAAAATTATGGCAGCATTTTTCTTCACGTTTTAAACCGTATCTTATATATAAAATAGCGTTTAACGTTTTAACGCACATTGGATTTCTTTGCTTAGTTTTTATTATATTCATTGAACTAAATATTCGCTCTACTTCTGCATTACTTATAGGGAAAACAAGAAAACTAGGTTGCAAAGGTCAGCAAAAGGGTTTTCTCCTAGGGCATTTCGAAATTGATAAACTTCGGCCCAAAATTTTACAGTTGAGTCTAAATTACTCCAGGTATGTAACGTTAACCGTTGCCATTGCATCTCTATGGATGTTTTTTTGTCGGCATTATATTTGTGTTTTTGTTGCTGTAGTTGAACAAATACTTTTGGTTTAATTACTCTTAATGCATTTCCAACCGAAAAAAGTCATTTTTTTTAGTTTGACAATATTTGTAGGGAGGCGTTGGCGTATTTCCTTTATTAAAGTGATAATAAAATAGCGACCATTTTCTCGAATTATTTTCTCGGCTTCGTGGTCAAAAGCGTTTGTGCTTACTTTTGTTTTTAAATACTCTTCAAAACTGTGATAAAACTGAGGAAATGGAGCAAGGTATGGTTCCAACGGGGAGCATATAGGATCAAATGTGTCCGCGCTAATAACCACTAGGCAGCATAGATGCGAAAGTAAAACATTGAGTTCATTAAAAATCTTCATTGTTTACTTTTTGCACCTGAAAATTAGGCAAATAGTAAAATCGGCTAAAAACGGCTAACTTTTTTTACAAACCGGCTAACAAATCGGCTGCCGGCTAGATCAAATTTTCTCCGGCTAGTTGCTATCAAAACCGGCTAAATCTAGCCGGAAAACGGCTAAAATGGCAACGCTGGTGGTGTGTTAATTATGTGGAGCATTTCTAATGTGAAACGTTTATTATAGTGTTGTTCTTGCTGTAATATGCTCACAGCTTCAAAATCGGGATTGTGTCCGCTCTCTGCACAGTGGGCCGCTAGTGCAGTTTTTTGTGTGTTACTGGATGCTCTACATTTTATGTCCGATCGGTGTCCTGATATTCTTGTTCTAAGTTTGTTCTTTGTTGTTCCTACATACTCTTTTCCACATTTATTATTTTCATCACCAGCACATGGAATCCTGTATATAATATTGTTTCTGTCCATAGTTAACACTTTGCTTTTCATATTGCTAAAAAACATACCAGTTGTATAGGCGGGTTTGTATGGGTGTATGAATTAGCCCCCACTGAATTAACCCCCACCGGGCAAAATGACTTAAGCCCCACCAATGTCTCAGTGAATCTTTCCCCACCAAAAATGACAGAATCCCCACGAAAAAAAAATGAGTTAAACCCCACGAAAATGATTTTATCCCCACCAATCGAAATGAATTAAGCCCCACCAAACGTGGGGGTTCTTACATGACAGAATCCCCACGAAAAAAAAGGAATTAATCCCCACGAAAATGACTTTAGCCCCACTTTGCTTCATTTTTAATTTATTTTGCTTGCTTTAAACTTCAAGTTTTTAAATCAAAATTTTAACAAAAATTTAATTATACATATGTATGTAATATTTAAAAAGAAAAAGGTAAAGAATTAAATGAAAATATGAAAATGTGAGAAAAAGAAAATAATTAAATAAAAATATGTAAATGTTCGTCAACATCTTGACGACAAAAAGGGCATTTAAATTTATTAAAATTGTTTGCCACACTCTGTGCACTATAAGTGATTTTAACCTTTCGTAAAAGGAAAAATTCCCTTCTATTATTTTATAATTTACAAAATTATGGTTTCTCCTTTTACGAAATGTGCACTATTAGTGATTTTAACCTTTCGTAAAAGGAAAAATCTTTGACCATTCAATCTTAATAGAGTGATTATTAAAAACAGTTCTGCGTATTCTGCTTAAAAATGAATATGGAAAAATTGAAACAAATAGAGAGTAATCGTATAAACGCAAGGAAGATCTTACTAAATAAAAGCGATACTATAAACTTTTCTCATGTTCCTGGATTTATAATTGATTCTTTTTTTGGAAAAAAAAGTTATAAGGCGCAACTAATAGTTTGTGTTTTTGCTTTCGTTAATGGAATTAGCGAGTCGCAACTCTTTCAACTAATACGATGGATACCGTTCACAAAAACTCACCAAAAAAAAATATCAGATTTACTCTTATGGCTTGAAAATTCTCCAAACGCTCACAAGTACTATAGCTATAATGTTATACTTAATCAAATAGTTTTTTGTAACGGAGACTTACGAAAATATGGAGAAAGAAAGCAAAGA